AGAGCGGGTGGGTGTGGGTAAACCCACAGCTAATGGAGACGTGGCACACTGTATGGGTGAAGGACACACTTGTGGCCCTGGCTTGAGAGAGGCAAATGCATTTCATGTAATCAAAATGTTTGTACCCCCATAATATCCTGAATTTTAAAAAAATGTATTTTTATATATGCCAAGTAGAAAGTAAAGTTTGTTGATTATTTCTTATAAAGGAAAAAAGTTCAAAAACTCATATTCTTAAAGTCTGTTTTACAACTGACTTTCTCTGTGAGTTGGACATAGTCAAACTTGCTGTTGTTTTTGATCTCAATAAAGCCATAGGCACATTTGCCCTGGCAGAATGAAACACTGGGTAATAAATACAGCAGGAAGTTGACAATACAGATGTCTGAGTGTGATGTTTTAGCCTGGGGTGATGCAGAGTCCCCAAATGGAAAACAGGATGATCAGATAGCTCTGCTGGCCTTCAATAGCTTGGTCTGGAATAACTACCATGTCAACAGTGTGCCCTGATGATTTTCAACCAATACAGCACATTAGCTGTTTCCAGATGTTTAGGTAGCATGATTTCTTTTTACTTATCAACCAATACCAGGATCTCTAAGATTTGTTCTGAAATCTCTTGGGAAGAACAAAGTTGATTCATTCCTTATGCCCTGACTTGCCTCCACCTGACCAGGAAAAGTGGTGTTTAACTTTTTCCATGAGCATGGGTGGGTTACTAATTTTATTGTTACTTAATTGGGAATTGCATTACTGAAAAGAGGAAGTGATGTTTAGCAATCGAGTGATCTAACATAATGGTAAACTTGCTGATTACTTAATAGTCTAATGTAATTTTAAGATTTATGAAGATCTGTTGAACTTAATTTTTTATATAAATCAGGTTTGCTGTCTTTGGAGCAGTCTTCATTGAAGGATTAAGTTTTAGAATATAATACTCTGGGCTATTAATATTTTCAAAATTCAGACAGACATAGTCTTCTTGTCATTAGTTCTCAGAGTAAGATCCAGAGAATAAACTCACAGTGGCTTCTACTCATGTGCAACCTTTCCTAGTACTTCTTTTTATTCAAAAAACAGTACATTTCAAGATTTTGTTTCTTCTTATAGTTTACAGTATCCCAATTCCTTGAAAATTACTAATCTATCAGCAATAATTATTAACTGGAATATCCAATTCCTTAGACCACCATCACAGTGAGATAATAAAGACCACAGTTTAAAAAAATCTCAGGCCATCTGGTTGATTGTTTTTCCACATTTTAGAAATCTCTAGTAGTCAGATTTCCTAGCCTCTGTCAGCAATTTGGTTTTTGCCTAACAGCATTTACAGTTGAAAAATTCTGTCCTCTTATAATTCAGCTTCTTTCTCATGCAATTTTACTTCACACACACACATGCATGCACTATATGAACAATAACTGGCCATTCTCTGAAAAACAGAAATAGTTTACAAAGAAAATAAATACAAATAAAAAAGTAGATTTAATAAATATTATTGAGTCACCCGAGAGCCTTCTTTTCTCCAAGCAAAATAATTGCCTTTCTTGATAGGTTCTATTTTATCTTAATTTAAAAGTAAAAATTAGTGTGAATCAGGTTAACCAGTGTTTCTAAACTAAGATACCAAGATACTTAGATGACATGAACTGGGGGTTTATGCCAGCACTGTTACCCAGCCCTTCTTGGTGCATAATTTGTACCTAGCACAATTGCTTCGAAAATACCTTTGATTACTTCCACCTTGTCTAATCTGCTAGGATAGTATAAAGAACATGGAGTTTGTCACCAGAAAGATGTGGATCTAATGTTGACATAGTCACCAAGCAGTTGTGGGGAACTTTGCTTATCATTCATTCTCTTTCAGACTCAGTTTTCTTATTAATAAAATTGGGATAAAACGACTAACTTGCAGTGTTGCTGAGGGATTAACTGAAGTGTATGTAAAATGTTTGGCATAGTGGGAAGTGTTTCCTAAATGCTAACTATTTCTATTATTGTCATTTGTTTCAGGTAATGTCCTTTCCCTCCATGGCAGCACTTGCTGACTCCCATAGGAACCTATCATGTCCACACCCCTATGCATTTCCTAAACTGAGGGGATCATAACTGGTTGACTCATTTAAAACAATGGGAAATACAGAACCATGAGCATATATGCCCACAGTCTGACTTGATGGCATCTAGTTGATAACTTAGAACATGAAATATCAGTAGCGGGGGGAGGTCATACCTGGTCTTCTTTATCTTCGAAATTCTGTCTATGGTGTGAAGTGACACTCCCTTGACCCTTATATCAGTTTTGTGAGGATCACCAGGACATTAGCACAGAACTTAATCCTCAGTTTTCCCTTTCCAATCCATAATCTGTGCAGTGTTTGGCATGTCATATACAGAAACACAGAGAATCTCAACCCCACCGTGGCAGAGAAAATCTTTGCTTAGCTGAATTCGCCCTTTTTAATACCAAAATGAGTAACACAGACACAGAGAGAGCTCATTAATTTTAATAGTTGAGCACAGTTTTAACAGTTCTTCCTAGGAATTATCTCCCAGGTCCCATCCAAAACCATTTACGTACAATGCCTGAAAGTATTCAAATTACATAAACAAATATTGTAAAAGCAGAAGAACTAGGAAAAGCCTCCATAGCCTTGAGATTAATAACAATGCTTCATCATTCTCTCAGTACCTGTTACTAAATGCTAAATACTAAGTACTAAAAAAGCTGTGCTGGCAGCTGGCAGCTAGGGACTGGTGGCTGTCAGCTGGTAGCTTGGGAGAAGAATAGAGAAGGAAGCTCTCATAGCAACAAGCACATTTACATTCATTTTTCATCTCATAACCAAGATAACACAGGGCAGATCTCTCTATTTTGGTAACTAAGTTGGTGTCAATGATAGAAAGGCCTTGAGAAACATTCTCAGGGTAAGGTTTGGAGCTGATTTTACTCATGCCACAGGTTAGAAAAGGCCAATATTCTCAGACTCCTTGTAACTGAGGTTCCCCCTGTCCTGCACATAGGTTGGTGTAAAGAATTGAAACTGTAAATGCAGAGCCTGAGTCGTAGTAATAACACAATAAATATTTGTTGAATGAATGAACTGATACCTGGGGTGCAGTGTGAACAGACTGGACCTAAGTTTTTCTAAGCGGAAACCTCCCTGGCACATTTTGGAGAAGTGACATTCACACAGCAGGCCTTATTTGTCAGAACCAACCCTCAGTTCCCCGAGGATCCTGGGAGGCCAGGGGAACAGTGGTATGACAAAGATCAACTAAGTTCTTACTTAGTTCATCCCAGTCCCTCGATTATGCTCCCTTAGCATCAAATTTTGTGACCCGATTTCAAAAGATTCAACACCATATGTAATCAAAATATGATGGATATGTGTATACCTCCTTCAATTACTCTCAGTACACACAAAACTTTAAGAAATCTGGGGTAGGAATTGACCTGAGACTCCCTTCCCCTCCCTTTCCCTTTTGTCTTTTTTGCTTTCTCTTACTCTACTCTTCTGTTCTCTTCCCCTCCTTTCCATTTCCTCCTAGCCCAGCCTCCTGCCCTCCCCCCTTCTCTTTCTTCCTCATTACCAAAGTTGAAGACTTCTTAAAACTCTGTGGCCCCAGGGGGTGGAGCAAATAAAGCCATTTTTTAGTTCCCAGAAATGGGAGCAGTTCAAAGAAAAAACAAAACAAAACAAAACAAAACTACTCCTATCCACACTAACAGTGATATAGAGACTCTCTTTTGATATCATAGATATCCAGAACATTCTATTGGGAGTAAATTCAATTTCTACCGAGTAAATTTGAGGTTTTAGCTTTCGGGATGTCAACTTCAGGATGATGATGATATAATAAAAATAAACCATTAGCCACACACATAAGATCCATTTTGTGTGCGTGTTTAAGTAAAACAAGGGGTGGAAGCTATTTAAAGCAAATGAGCATATCAAATACATATTTGTCACAATTCTTAAGTTCAGAATTCACAAGCGCTGGCTGGAATAGAATGTCTCAGGCAGGAAATCAGTCTGCATTTATTTCATGGCACAGAGAGCAGGACTAGAGGGGCCAACCAGAGTAATGGCAGGAGATCAATTCTTTGCCTCCATGCCTCTTTTCTCCATGTTTCAGAGAAGAAAGTGAGGGTACCCCCAGTCATCCTATTGGTTAGTATCCTTAGCCTGTCTTTGACCCTGGGGAGAATCAAGTTCCTTTGGTCTACAAGAGTAACAGAAGTTATTTCCTAAGATAATTCTGTTTAAGGCTTCAAATTAATTCTACCCTGGCACTGTATGGTTCTAAATGTCATTTTATTCATTCATTCAACAAACTTTCCTTAAATACCCACTCTGCAAAGTACCATGATAAACACTGAATATTACATTAAATCCAATCAGAGTAATATTCTTTTGTAGGTAGAATCTCTGATACAGTCAGGCTGCAGTATTGGTAAACTGGAGTGTGCTCAGATGTCAATACACTGACTACCAAGTTACCAAGTGTTGAATCACTCTCAGTATATATTATCTCCTATCTGGAAAATTTCCTTCAGTATAATACTGATAACAAAATGACACCAAATGGAAAATGAATAGCCACTCATTGGCTTACTCCTTCTTTGGGGGAGTATAAAATCCAATTTCGAAGTAGCTTGTCATTGTGGAAAGACTACCAAACCTGGAGTCAGGTGGCCTAGATTTGATCTCAGCTTCATAATCTTAGGGAAGCTACTGAACCTTTTTGAGCCCTCCTTTTTTATACCAAAAATGAGTCCAGAAATCTTTGCCTTACCTTCCTCTGACATTACTGAGAGAAAAAATGAAATAATGTTTATAAAAGTGCTCTGAAAACCACAGAGATCCATACAAATGTAATTTATCAGTATCAAACAATTTGACATTTCTTTCAGGGAAAACTATTACATTATAGTTTCTTTTTCTTCTTTTTTTTAGCAAGAGGAACTTATATTATCAACTAGCATTATTTGGGCATTTGGCAACATAACACACATTTATTTTCTCATGGAAGAGACAATTTAGAAGTTTTCCTTGTTGAAAATGAAGTGTACTCCACGAGGGCCAGACTCAGAGTTAGAGATGCACTGTTTACTGAGGGTTTCAGCCAAGGCTTCAGGTCCACAGAGGAAAACTCCTATTCTGGTACTTTTGGGGTGAAAAAAAAAAAGACAGTTTCAGGCTTTGGGATAAGATAGACTAAAAAGCAGGTGGGGAATTTCCTAGTAATTTGAAGCCCCAGGGCAGAGTTGCCTCTGCGTCTTGGTCTTTTCCACAAATGTCAAGGAGTTCAGATCACTCTGGTGGAGTGTGGTTTAGCCCTGTTTGTCGGGGCAGCTAGATAATTAAAAAGGTAGTTGACTTCCCTGGAAGAAAGGAATCCACACAGGGTTTTTAGAAACTTCTACCACAGAGAAAATGGTGGTGAGTTCATGAATCTGTGGGCTACTTCCCTTCAGGGCCCTGTGGCCCCAAGCCCTCTCTGGCATCTTGAAATCAAGAGCAAACCTGCTTTAGATACACCAATTCTGCTAGCAGTTTGGTGTGGCTTCATTCCTCTGAATATTGGAGTTTAAAGTCTTGCTGTTTAAGGTGTGATTTCACGTAGCCTTGGCATTATTAGTCTTTTAAGAATGTAGATTCCCTGGCCTCATCCCAAACCTACTAAATCAGTATCTGCATTTTAAAAAGATCCCCAGGTGATTTGTATGCTCATGAGAGTATAAGAAGCAATGGTCTAAAGGGTCTATTTATGGTGCTCTCTCAAGTTTCTCATGTGTTCTTGAAATATAGGGGATCCCCTTCAAGGTTTCATAGTGACTAAAGCTTTAGTGAAAGCAGAAAGGAACTTGGGACATCCCTCAGCTTATGATCTTAGATCCAGAAACTATAACTGAAAATGGAGAAAGTGTCTTCTTAATAATAAGTATAAATCATTTTGAAATTTTAAAAGAAGTAGGTATATTAGTGAAATTTAGGAGACTAAAGAAAAGAACTAAACTATGGCCCTACTTGGGATGAGCAGGCAGAGAAAGTAGAGGTCGGGACCTGGAAATCTTTATTTTTTGCAACTCTCTAGGTAATTTTGGTATGATTTAAAGATCCTTCTTAAAATTAGAGATATCTGGACCCTTCCATTGGGCACGAATTCAACCTTTATATAGTAATATGGGTATTTGAGTTTCTGGAATATACAAGTCTAGCCATAATTGGGAGCTGCTGTTTAGGCAAATCACAAGCCTCAAGAACACCATGGTGGGGACCTCCTTACTTAGGGTGTTGACTCGCAATTGTCTTGAACTCATTATCCCAGTTGGGCCGGCCATACAAAGTCTTTTGTTTCAGGCCTGTGATCACATCTTTCTCCTCATCATGGTGCACAGCAAAGTGATTGGCCTGCAGGAAAGGACATGGATTCAGAAAAAGGAGATATGCTGTAAAAGCACATATAGATGTATTTACATAATTCACAGATCAAGCTCTTACTACCCCAACCGAGGCACCCTGCTGAAGGCTAAAAGGTAAACAAAGATGAACAAACTGGATCTCCCTCAAACAATTTACAATCTAGAAGGAAACTCCCTAAATATAAATATAAATAACCCTGTATGTAGAACAGCATGTGATGAGTGCCATGGAAGAGGCATAAACATTCTAATACGAACAAAGAAAGAAGGTGGAGTGAGAGGATAGGGGAAGATTTAGGGCCTCAGCATTCGAGTCAGGCATTGAAGGGTGGGTGGTGTCTCACTGTTTTCCTCTCTGCTCTACATTTGACTTTCTCTTTTGATCCTAATATACTCCCACTCCTTTGGGGGAATCACTGAGAACTGAAACAATTACAGACTGAAATGCACTAATATTTTACTAACATGAGACACTAAATCAAGCCTAAAGCTAGTCCATGTGTATGCATGTGGGTGTGTATGTGTACACACTCACAAGTTGTTTTTCTGCTATCATTCTAGGGGGGGCTTAGCTTGAACAACAGGTATTTTTCATAAAAGTGGTAAATTAAAATTATTTTTTAAAAAGTAAATCAGATTTTAAATTCACTAGATGGATGATGGGGATAGAGGAGGTTAAACAAAGTGGTCACTCCAGTTTAATAATCCTGTAGGGACCAGTTTTGCAAAGAAAAATATTAATAATTATTTCTTCGATGCAAATATATTGCCCATTTGAAAAACTGTGCCTGGATTTTTAAAATAACAAACTGTAAAATAATTTACATATTATATAAATTATATATTATAGATTTTTTCCCTGGGTTTCATTTTTTTTTTTTGAGACAGAGTCTTACTCTGTTACGATGGGTAGAGTGCAGTGACATCATCGCAGCTCACTGTAACCTCAAACTCTTGGGGTCAGGTGATCCTCCTGCCTCAGCCTCCCGAGTAGCTGGGACTACAGGTGTGCACCACAATACTGAGCACTTTTTCTATTTTTAGTAGATATGGGGATCTCGCTCTTGCTCAGGCTGGTCTCGAACTCCTGAGCTCAAGCAGTCCTCCCTCCTTGGCCTCTCAGAGTGATAGGATTACAGGCGAGAGCCACCATGCCCAGCCCTGAGTTTCATTTTTATCAAAGCGTTTTGGGGATTTTCTTGTTTTGTTTTGTTTTTAAATTGCAGAAGTGGCATCTTGAAGCCACTTTTTCTGTAGCAGCAATTCTTATGGTCATGTGTTCTTGGATCTACATTGCTTACTCTTCTAAGACTTGGAGAATCTATGATAAACAACATGTCGAAACCCAAATGAAAAGTCAGTCTTTGTAGTGACAGGGTGCATGTGAAAGATGCCCAGGGTTGAAGCCAATGCCCATAGACAGCTAGCTGTTATGGTTTGAATGTGTCCCCTCCAAAATTTAGGTGTTGCCAATATGATAATATTAAGAGGTGGGGCCTTTAAAAGGTGATTAGGGCATAAGGGCTCATCCCGCATGAATGGGATTAAGGCCTTTATAAAGAAGCTTCATGCAGCATTCAGCAAGCTTGCCATTCTGCCTTCTACCATGTGAGAACACAGCATTTCTACCCTCCAGGGAATGTAGTCCTCACTGAACAAACAAACCTATTAGCACCTTGATTTAGGACTTCTCAGCCTCCAGAACTGTGAGAAAATAAATTTCTGTTCTTTATAAATTACTCAGTCTCAGCTATATGGAAGGAGAGAGAGAGAGAGAGAGAGAGAGAGAGAGAGAGAGAGAGAGAAAGCTTATTTTCTCCCCATAACCCGGTGGATCATCTTGTGTACCTGGCTAAGACCCCTGGTGGAAGCATTGCTTTGATAATGTCAAAGTCATGGCTTTTATTCCTTCATAGGCCTCTTAGCTTTGAATATAGTCTCAACAGCCTAAACATCAGTGGGGATACTGAATAAGAGCGAATGGGCTGGATCACCTGAATCTATTATCCATCCTTAGAAAAAAACAGTACACAAGACACACCGGTAACTAAAGGGAAGTGAGTAAGCCCTGGACTCTATGGGAAGGGCCTGAGGCTTTCAATCTCGTCCTCACCTGAGATTCATCCCAGCCAGTGAGATAGATGTTGTAACTGAGGAAATCTGCATTGTTCCTCTCTTGCATCTGGGTCTCCAGCAGTTGCAGCAGGTCTGCAAACCACTCAAAGGCATGTGTGTCCCGGCACAGCCAGTAGAAGTAGATCTGAAAAAGGGATGGACAGTGAAGCAGATTATATTTGGATAGGCCCTATCGGCATTAACATGTGGATTTCCACTGTCCCCCAAACTTTTTCCTGATGCTCAGAATGCCTAGAAACATAGGTTTTCATTTCACAGGCTGGACATTTCACAGGCTAGTTCACATAAACCTTTTATGGTCTTCATAGTGATAGGGCAGTAAATAAATAACTTGGCCTCAGACATACACAGCTTAAGAAGAATCTATTGGCTCACCAACTTTCCCACTGGATCTGCTCTTATTCTCCCAGAATCCCTGACTTCCATTGAACATCCTCTCAGAAAGGCCACTGGAATCTAGACTAACAGTGACTGCCACAGGACTTCTTCCCTGCCTGCTCCTGCCAGATATTCATGAATTCCTAGAAAGAAAAATAGTCCCAACTCACACCTCCTCCACATAGAAAAGAGGTAAAGGGAGAATGTAAAAAAAAATAGTGGGGGCTAGAAATTGAGTCAATCTCAATATCTAACACAGGATGATAGAAAAGTTACTTTATGTCCTCTCAATGGAACATGAAAGAATCATTAAAAATCATCATTATAAAGCCTGTGACAACACTGGAAAACACTTTCTATAATATTTTTAAAAATCAGGATATGAGATTATACACACTCAATATTTACAACTTTCTAAAACTATATAAAAGTCAGAAAATATTAGGAGAGAATGTACAAAAAGGATAGCTATTAGGTTGGGGTCATGAATGCTATCTTTCTTTCCCAACTTTCTTTCTTCCGAATTTGCAGTAAAATGATACAAATATAGTATATTCCATTCACTAACAGGCCTGCTTATACAGAAGCATATTGAACTTATCAAATAGTCCTTTGAAGAAAAGCCTGCCTCTCCTGAACCACCCAAAGCTTGTCTTCATTTCCCATGGTCTGATCTCTGCCAGCCTCAGCCCTGAATGGGCTCTCAGGCCTCACTTAGCAGGGTGTGATGACTGCTCCAGGCCCTCCAAAAATGAAAGAACTTACCTTTCTGAGCCTCAGATTGGTGGCATTATTGCAATACTTGTACCAGACTGACTTGAGAATGGATGCAAAGGGCGTGACTCCAATCCCCGCTCCCACTAACATCACCACCTCATAGCTGAACACATCTTCACTGGCTGTGCCAAAGGGCCCATCAACCGCTATCCTGAGGGGAAATGGGGAAGAGATAGTTACAGAGTCATGTTGCTCTTCAGAATGAGATGGGACACCCATTATTGTTGGGGATGTGCAATATGTCAGTTCAAACTGGAGCAACGTATCTATGGGGTGCTTTCTTCTAATGAGATAGCTTTCAAGTGACCAACTTAGCGCCAACATTGGGGTTGGAAGTAAGAAGAGGAATTTTGGGCTAACTGAAAACATCTGGTAACTCAGCCCATGTATTTTTTCGTCCCTCCAGCCCCTTTCACACACAACACCCACAAACTTACACAACCACATCCGCACCCACACCCAAATATTCATACACACATGTCTGTATCTCTTTCCAGGACATCCCACACTTGAAATTCCTGCTCACATTGAGCAATGAAGTGAGAATTTTCATATCATAACATTGTAGCTTTAATATCACCACTTTTCATTTGTCTATTCATTGAATTATTCAATAAACTATCAAACTTTTATTCAGCACCTAAGTGACTGACCCAATGATGGGCATGTGGGGAAGAAGAGTCAAGGGAAATAATGTATGGCATTTGCCCTCAAATAAATTATGCCAATTAAAATGTAAGTATATGTTTGATACACTACAATTTTGTTTGTTAGGGAAGTTAATCTAACTTGGCCTTGATTGTTACATATTTAAAGGAATTTGGGATTATTCTTTACTAATACTTGACTCAAATGTTTTATATTTGGCCGGGCGCGGTGGCTCACGCCTGTAATCCTAGCTCTCTGGGAGGCCGAGGCCGGAGGATCGCTTGAGCTCAGGAGTTCGAGACCAGCCTGAGCAAGAGCGAGACCTCGTCTCTACTAAAAATAGAAAGAAATTAGCTGGACAACTAAAAATATATAGAAAAAATTAGCCGGGCATGGTGGCGCATGCCTGTAGTCCCAGCTACTCGGGAGGCTGAGGCAGAAGAATCACTTGAGCCCAGGAGTTTGAGGTTGCTGTGAGCTAGGCTGATGCCATGGCACTCTAGCCTGGGCAACAGAGTGAAACTCTGTCTTGAAAAAAAAATGTTTTATATTTCACATAAGGATTATAAAAATATGCATAAACACACCACACATGTGAAATGGGGAGCACAGAAATAGCTACCTATATTCTTAGAACCTGTGTGTTTTGTCAGAAACCTGTGAAATACAGGGGGAAAGGAACTATTTAGTGTCATTTTTCCTCAACTCATACACCTTTGCAATATGCACATTGTACTCACTTAGGTAGTTTCCAGGCATCTTGAAACTCCTGCTTATCACAGCCACAAGCATTGAACAGCCCCTCTGTCCAGTCCCCAACGATGCGGATATGGATGCTAAAGAAGTCTTCCTCAGGGGCAGAGGTCAGTGTGAAAGGATGCCACTCCAGCTTGGACACCGTGGGGCACTTGACAAAAATATATTGTCCCACCTCCATCTTGAAGCCCTTCTTCTTCATCTGTAGCTCGATAGTTTTGAAAGGGTGAGTGACCACCTATGGAACAAAACGTGTGTCTGGAAATGCCACTTTTCCTGAACGCTTGCCTTTTCAGTGTCCATATGGATAAAAAGTTGAACTAAGATGCCCCACCCAGATCTCCACTTCAGGGCCAACACAGCAGTTCCTCCAGCAGATGTGTCCATCACTGGGAATTACCCTGGGCTGTAGCCCATGACCACTGATGGGCTGATGAAGGAATACAAATGCCTAGTCCCTTCTCTTTAATTTGTGACAACTCAGGGGGCCATCCCAACTCCAGTACTCCCTGTAGGATCAGCTGAGGCCACAGTGGCAAACGCATTGTGGGTCAGCTTTTCTCTTTCCCCAGTCCTGCTTTTCTTACTTCCTTTATAGGTTCATCTCCTGAGAACATGTCCCTGGAAACCTTATGCATGAAGTTCTGTCTCAGAGTCTTTACCAAGTAATCCAACCTAAGATATTAACCAATTTTGATTTTTTTTTCTCTCAGAAGTCAAGGAAGGTACTAAAAATAGAAAAAAAATGATGGTTTCCTGCTCATCCTTCCTATCTTCCCAGGGGCTGAGAGAGGGCCTTAGCAACTGGACAGAAGGAGATCCTATTGGCTAGTTATGTAGTAACATCCCCCAAACCAAGCCTAACTGGGGGTCTGTCTTTGTCCTGAATCATCCCTGAAACCTGCCTGATTCCATGCATTGGTTGTACATTTCTCTCTACCTGAGGAGTGTATCACCCATCTCTCCCTAAGCCAGATCCTACCCACTCATTGCCATCCTCATTGTCTACATACGCAAATGTTCATAGCAGCTTTATTGATTACAGCAAAAACAAAGAAACAAAAACAGGAGACAATCCAAATGTCTCATCAACAAATGAGTGGATAAACATTTAATTGTATGCAATAAAGAGCAATACAGAAAGTAATATACCATTTCTTTATTGATTACTTAAGATGTCTGGAAGAACTTTATATGTATAACTAAAGATAAACCAAGGGACATCAAAAGAAAGAAAAATCAACAGAAACAAAATAGCAGCTTCCTAAGGTTGATTGATATTGCTGGGCTTTTTGTTTGTTTGTTTGTTTTGCCAGCAGGGAGTTGTGGAAGAGTGGGCAATTTCTTTAATAAAAAATTATTAAACATTTCCAAAACTTTTGATTTAAATGCATCTTCTATGATAAAGTTGCAGCCAACTTCCCTTCTGCTCTGAAATAAACAGTTATAAAACTTCATTTTGAAAACAGAAAGTGAAAATTACATTAAAAATTGTTTTACCATGTTGCAATTTTGTGTGGTGAAAACAGTTTTTACCACATTGCAATTTTGCTACCATAAGCACAAATGGGATTTAACTAAATAAAGAAGTACTAGCGGACAACATTCTCACTGGAATACTTTTGAATAACATCTTGTTTGTTATATTAGTTTATACGAGAAGAAAATGAATATCTATTTTCTTCACACTTTGCCTTAGAAGTATGTTTAAAGGAAATACTTGTCTGGTTCAGTCGTCTCCAGTCTAATAAGGGAAATTTTGTGGCAGCTCTTTTTGCTGATCTATGAGATATTTTTTTATGATACAATATAATATCACAGAAAAAGAAGAACTATCGTGGCTTCCTATATTTCAAGACTTTCAATGCCAGCTGAACTAACTTTACTATGACCCTCCATAGATGCCAAATGAGGAAAGCTAGGGTGGAGGACAGGAAGACTTTGCATGTTTTGCAAAAACAGCCCATAGTAGGCTTTTGGCAAGTATTTTTGGCACTGAGTAGAATTTAATTACATTTTATTTGATAAAAATAGTCTTGGCTGGTGGTCCCTGAAATTATAACAAGGAGTTTCCATTTATATTTATTTAGTTGGATATTTATTTATTTTGTGATGAGAAACAGCTTAGAGAAGAATCGGGGAAAAGCTACTCTAGATTTGGAGTTAGGAGACTGAATTTGAGATGTAGCTTAGTTACTAACTTGGTTGATACTTTCAGCACCTCAACTGTGATATTCTATGATTGCATGTAAAACACAGAAAAGGAGGTAAAGGCGACCTAGAAAACTGTCTCAACCTCAATCAGACCTATCCTTGGTTCCCTGGTTCTTTGGGCATCTGAATATTTTAATTTATGCCCTTTTGAACTCACCTCTTTTCCTTCTCCATTCTTAATTAACCACACAATACCTCTATGCCTTCCCCCCATAAACACTCACACACTCTCTCTCTCTCTCTGTCTCTCTCTCTCTCTCTCTCTCTCAAACACACACACACACACACACACACAAAGAGAGAGAGAGAGAGAAAGAGAGAGAGAAATATTCACACACACACAAGTCACTTGGCTTCACTTTAACACAGAAAACAGTAACTTCTAGTTTCCCCTGTTAAAGGTCCAACCATTTGATTATCAAGCTAAGTACATCGAAATAAACTATAGGTCTTCTCTCTGCCCTAAGTTTAATCAAAAGAAACTGAGTAAATGATCGCTCTGACCAATGATATAGAGAACTTGGGTAGACTTGTCCATTATATAGTTAGATACTGACTACTAGTAATTCCTAAACCATCCAATACCTTGGTGATGACCACCTTTTGTTGAGATCGCCAAAACCGGACCAACCTCTCACAGAGATACAGGAACATGGGGCCTACTATCCATTTCCAAGTCTGTAATCAGAGCAAAAGTGAAAATGAGATGTGTTAAGGGGTGACAGCTAGTAAAAGATTCAGAGAGAGAAAAATTTTAGAAGTCAAGTTAATCTTTGTAAACTCGTTTAAATATTTGACATTAGAGAAGAAAATTTCTTCTACAATATGATATACGGATATATCTGAAATTAATATAATTTTTTGAGTACGTAAAAATGCAGTCTTTTAAGTCACATTAGGGAACTGTATCTACAGCATGAAACTTTCCCAAGAGGAACTGTCCGTAAGCATGGGATTTCCTCTCAGTGTCACAACTGCAGTTGCAATAACCCTACAACAGAGCAAGATCGGTTTCAGAATTAACGTTTCTTTAAAGGGTAGCATTTCAGCAACACAATATTTTTAATGCAACGTTGCAATTGCTTTTTCTTAGCCATGTAGTCCGAGCTTAATCTTTTGCAAGATGCAAAATTTTGTGCAAGAGTTTGACTGTTTATCCAATATTCTGATAAATTCTGGGAGCTATGCAATGCACTTGTTGAATAGGGACAAACGGAAAGATTTTCAGATTTCTCCAGATACCCCTCTGGTCAGAATACGCAGTGCCTCAGAACCCTGGAATTACTCTGTAGCATTGTTGGCTATACAAAAGCATATTTAGGCCAAACATATCCATCTTGGGACTCAGTCAGTTGGGTTTCTAGTTTAATACCAAAAGTAGCAAAGAATTTTAGAGGGCAATATCATCTCAACGATGACTCTCCAGAATGGATTCCAAGGAGGAGAAAAAAATAAGAGAGTGCTTCCCATAGTTTTACATGTGATATTTTTATTAAATTAATTTTGTAGGAAACTGTTGGAAGTTGGCAGCACCTGAATGTCCCCATTTCCAGCCAAAGTTGAAGAATATCCCAGAGGTCAGGAATGTTCTGCTGCTGACTTTTGTTTTCATGGAACAGGTATTTAAAACAGTTTCACATCATCTGTTTCCTGAATACCAACATGGGGCCCCAGTGAATGGAACCAGATTTGGATATTGCCTCTACTATCCCCAGAAACCCAGAAGCTCCTTTGAGGTAGATCCCTGTCAAGGTAGGGGTACTTTGAGTCCAGCTGTCATCAAAGAATGTGCAGTTCCTAGCCCACAAAGAGGATTGGCAATACAGTAGCCTCTTTATCCTTCCTATTGATGCTTGCATGTAGTGGGGACAGTACACTGATGTTTCTGGTTACTTTCATTAATGGGCAAGGATGATTAAAGATTTTAAGTCTTCGGATAGCACACTGTGTCTAGAGGAAGAGTATGCCCATGATAAGAGAGTAGGAAAAAAGAAAGGAGAAAATGGGATGGGAAATTTGCCTTCATGTTATACTGTGATTAAGGAAAAAATAGTAATCTCCTTCAGAAGCCCTACACAAATGTTGATTTTGGTCTAGTTTTATACCAATGGCTAGCACAATAACCAATAAGGTATACTTTCTGCCAATGGAGGAAAAGATACGAAGATTATAGTGCCACCTTCTCACTCTATGGAGCAGTGATATTGAGAATATACAAAATGGAGCCCTTCAGGCTCCCTATAGACGAAGGGAAGTATTTCACCATATTTTTCCTTGGTCACCCTTGCCACACTCCTGCCCCCCTCCAATGCCTTTGAGTGTTGGTATGAACCTGGTTGTCCAGCCTCCTTTATGCCTCATAGGCAGGACCTCCCAGTGCCTAAAGGCAGCCCTATGTGCCACCTTATGAATTCCCTTCCCAGCTCCAAAAATCTTATAGAAAGTTTTACTTCCTGGTATCTGAAGAGGCCGAAGAGGCTCCTAGCTCCTTATAAGTGATTTATTTGAGCTATCCAACTTAGCTCAAGGTGGAATCCCTAAAAGTCCCTCTGAATAACATTAACTGGTGTTATCGTGGCCCTCATATCCAGAAGAAAGGAGATAGAGCCTCTTGAATGCAAACAGCGCCTTTAAAAATATTGCTTTTCCAAGTTTATATCAGGACATTGATAGTAGGCCAATGCAAAGCTTATTTTTCAAGAAACAATTCTGACCAATAGGTACAGCAGAGAAAAGCAGACTTAGGTGTTCCATGACATCTGTGTTGAACAGCTCTATTACATCTGTACATGATTCTTAGACACAGTTTGAAGATTGTCAGTAATGAAACTGTAATAGCAACAGCGAATTGTACATACCATAGGAGGGTTCCCAGAAAACTGCGGAATTGGGCATTCCTTTATTTTTCCCCATTCTGTGATTTTTTCCTTACAAAATTTTACACTGTGCTCTTTCAAACTCTCCATGGTCTGCCCACGTACAATTCGTCTGGAAGAAAAATGTAAGTCCAGAGTTGGACCAATTATTAATAAGAAATTAAGTTTGTTTGTTTTTTTTTTTTTAGATTCTGGATATATTTGAAGTACTTATACTTTTCACTTAAAAGTAAAATCTTATCATGCCCTCTGAATAGATTAGAAGAATGGAAAGAATATGTGTGATCTTTAGCAACAGAAAAGAAAAAATATGTGCAATAGCAGAAAGAATATTTACATGTAACATTATGGAACGTTAAGTCTTGGATGATCAATACGTGTTCTCTTAAAAGGAGAATTTATGCTTCTGTCTTGAGTATTATTTTCATTTACAAACAAAAAGAGCAGAAAAACTGCAAATCTAACAGGGTGACTGCTAGCTCATACAAGGCCTTTGTGCAAATTAGGAAAGGATGCCTCCTCTGTGAGGACAGTCTTACACTTCAAGGGCTTGGCCAGCACAGCATGGGCTAATTTTACCCTCCTTGGCCAGACACCCTTGTATAGTGGACAACCCAGACAGTCATACACAGTAGCCCTGAAACCTAGCAGAAGTGCTTTATTTGTGGGTTCAAAAGTTGTATAACTTAAGCCAAAAGTTTGAAATCTGTTTAAGGAGACTTAAATTTATGGAGATTATGATATTCTTCATGTCCCTGACTTCAAGGAGCATAAATGATAGGGTCTTCAGAATATATATGAAGAAACACAGAAGGCCCTTTGTAAAAGTTTATTTTGAAGACCTAAAATTTATTGTGCCATTTGGTGTATTCTGAGAATGTTTTAATTCAAGGTCATTAACCACCACCTCTCACTATCCCTAGGTCTTGGGGAAGAGAATTACCATGTATTGAGTACCTATTCTTTGCCATGCTTGGGAAAGGGCACTATGTACAAATTATCTCAGTCCTCCTAACAAGCCTGAAAGGTAAATATTATTACCCCCATTTTACATGAGGGTAATAATTTAAAGCAGAGTGTTTTTGTGAAAACAATCCTGTTTTGAGCTAGACAGCCTTGGGTTCAAGTCCCAATTCTACCCTTTACTAGTTTGATGGCCTCAGACAAATTACTTAACTTCTTTTAAGCCTAAGTTTCTTCAGCTGTAAAACAGGTATAATAGCACCTCGTTAAAGGTTTATTTTAATAATCAATTGGCATAATGTATAAAAAATGTCAGATACAAAGAGTCCAACAAATAACTATTAAAATTCTTAATGTCCAAGTTCTCATGGGAAGTAAATAATAGAAAAATAATCTGATTTTCTCCTTCTCATCTTAGTGCTAAGACCAGGAGTCCAGAAGCCTGGTCCCAGTTCAGCTGTTCCCTAGCCATAAGACTGCGAGCAATCAACTAACCAGAGTAAGTAGAAGATTCTCCTCAAATGGAGAATGGGGTAAATATATCTCCTCTCTCTGCTCCTAAGCAAGATGAATATCTGTGAAACTATACAAATGGAAAGTGCTAGGATTACTAAACTAGGGAGGGGAAGAAATTCCTTCTCTTCTCTAGGATTCTCTGAAACAGCTGCATTATGACTAAGTCCCATTTAAAGATACTCAGTTGCTTTAGGAGAGTCAAGAGATTCTTGGTCTCCACTGATTTCTTGGTGCTTAGAAAGAGTTTATCAGGGCTCAGAGTCAGCAAGTAGATTAAAAATGCACACAGTGGTTGCCCAATGCTACTTCTCCCTATACTTCTCCTTTTCACACCCACATCTTGGCCACCTCTAGTCTGACTGGGCTCTGCGCAGAGTGTTTGACCCTTGAGCTTCTACTTCCTCCATCCCTAGTTTCCTGGAGCCCTAATACCCATCAGGGAACTTCCCAGGCCTGCCTTTGTGTGTATGTGGTGTGAAATAGTAGAAAAAGCAAACCTGGTATTAAAGAGGATTTCCAATAAGGCAAACTCTCCCAACCACACACCCAGGCACTGTGTGTCTTTAAGAGAGCATTTATCACAGCCTGCTTTAGACTTCCTGGGCTCCAATCCCAGCTAGGCCACTTACCAGCTGAGTGGCTTGGGCTACATATTTTAACCTTTTTAGCTTTAGGTTCCTTGTCTACAATTACTATCTCTAGAAAAAAGGGATAGTGAAAACATGTATACATTTTGGAAAGTAAAAGAAACACTTCATGTCAAGCCCTCAGCACAGACCCTCAGTAGAAGTTAGCTATTACCTTTATTATTATATTAGAATATTTGAAGGCAAAACCCATCTTTTTTCCTGCTAGTGTTTCCTACAGTGCCTGAGATAGGTGCTTGTACACAGTAGGCAACTAATGAATGATTGTGGGCTTAAATCAAAATTTACTGAACTGTAGCAACCCCTGAATAATCATTAACCCCTCTAGTTTAGTCTAATTTACTAGTGATTAAGCCACAGCAGACATCATTGCAGACATCCAGGACCCTACCAGTGCTCTCAACATGTTTAATACACTCGCAGAGATACTCAGACTTTGGTATATTTTTCAAGCTTGCTACAAATACCTGCACTATGAATAGCAATTAGATGGGTGCAAGAAACTAAAGTGCTGCTGAGTGGTTCCAATCAAGCTGAACTCTTCTGTCCTCTTACATTCCCTTAGCAGACAAGCTGACCATACACAGGCAAGGAGGTCACTATGCCTCTAATAAAGCATCATGCCTATAAGTTGAGGAACATATAGTCCCTGGCTTCAGACTTTAAAAACTCACTCAGCTCCATGGATGGCAAGACCAATGAAGAAGATCACAAAGAGATGGTGTGTGTACCAAAACACTTCAAAGTAAGACCTCCGGATTGTTTTGGTAGAGGAGGTGATAATTAATATGAGGCACAATGTGATGACAACTCCAGTGATGCCTGCCAACCGAGTCACAGCCACATACAGGCCTCCTTCAGGGTTCTGTAAAATATAAGCACACACACACACACACACACACACACATACACATTACTATGCATTCTCAAATGTATAACTACCTATTTATAAAGTGTCCAGTGTATAGAGAAATAGGTATTTTAATTCCCCTTTGGGTAATCCTAATTATCTCTCACAGACACATATAGACTTGGAATAGATATTTCTGAATTTTAAAATGTCTTACATGGTTGAGGTGTCACAGCAAATATGAATTGATATACTTAAATAGTTAGTTCTAATTGAGTACCAAATAAAGGCAATCAGTTGACTACAGGATGTCCTAAAGGTGTCTGAAGCTCTTTGATTTTGAAATGGCCACAGTGCTTAGTTTGAAAATATATTCTGGGAATGCCAAATATCTTAGGCTGGGCTCCCCAGAAGCAGATCCTGAGATAAGCATTCATGGGCAAGTGACTTAGAAAGGATGTGCTCCAAGAGAAACTAGTAAGGGGAATGGGGAATAGTCAGGAAAGAGGGACAAGTCAAGCAGGGGGTTGATCTCAGGCAAAGGATAGCTTCAGTCTGATTCTGCATGGGGACTCTCAAGGGGAAGTTACACCTCAGAGTTTATCTTGACTCAAGGAAAGGAATCTGGGCTTTCATGGCCTGCACCCATCCAGTTATTGTCTAAGGGCTGCCCAGGGAGAGGTAAGCATTCAGGCCCTCCCAGATCTCTGAGCCTGTGTACAAAGGCACTCTAGTAGCTCCAGGGCAGCCCTCTGAGGAGGAAATACACCTACAGGTCATTGAAAATGAAAGCACTCAGAAGGTGTGGGGCACAGATACAATAAAAGTGATCCAGGAAGATCTGGGAAGAGCATGGCAGTGTCAGCTTACCTAGTTGTGTTCACATTGCCACCCTCATATATCACTGGACAAGTAATGATCAATGTAAAAGAAAAATTATCCAAGATATCGTAGAAAAAGAATTTGTTTTGTTCGATGCTGTTTAATTCTGTCTCTAAGTAGATCATGTAAGTCATTCTCATGCCAGTGTAAAGATAATACATTTTCTAAAATTAAGGGTCTTTTCTTGTGATCTTTTCTAAACACAAGAAAACATGCTTGGAATTCAATGTATAGTAATGTGCTTCAGCCATCTTCCCAAGCCATTGGGCACATGAAGATGACTTGGAGCTTCTCTCTCTGAGTGTAGGAAGTTTCAGCAACTGCTGGAAGGGAAGACATTCTTGCTCTTGGATACCCTCCTGGCTGCCCCTGGAGAACTGCTGAGTTACTCCCCATGCACCATGCATTTCAAGGAATGACAATTAGCAGACATAGGCTATCCCTCAGATGCTGTAGGTAAAAAAGGACAAAAGCATAGCCGACAGCTGTCAGCTGGTGGCTAACACCTAGGTCAAGGTGTTCCCTACTTCACATAAATAATTTCAACACCAATATCAGATGAGGTCACTCTGTGAGTGTGATGGAAAGAGATCAAAACAAGATCACTGTGAATTTATGTCTGAGCCCAGATAAGAACATGGATGACTACTGCTTCTTTACCTATTATAGATTTAGCCTTGTTCTGTTCCTTCTCCCTCCTAGAAAAATTATTACAATACATAATCTGAGAACTATCTCTAATTTCTGACCATAACTTATCCAGAACAAATCTGTGCTTTCTTAAACCCTTCCCAAAACCATCTAACACAAGCCTAAATCCTATGGCAAATGCCTCATAACACCCTTCTGAGGTGTCCCAGACACACGTCAAAGTGTGAGTTCTCTCTTGCTGTATCAAGAAATAAACCCAACTTTGTTTGACTAGACATGGGTTCCTGGCTTTCTTTAACTGGTGGGCATAGCCACTGGTAAGCCTGAGTTACTCCAGGCTCCATGTAAACACATTCTCATAGAGAGCTTAAAGACCTGGAAAACTTCTAGAGACCCTCCACACATGGGGTCAAGAGTATGGGAGATATTTTTTTCTATATTCACATTCTTATAAGCCACAGACATGTCCCTCTCATGGCTAGCCAAGTTCTGTTGTTGTTCTGGCCAAGTAGAGTTCTTCACTCACTGAAATCTAGTCCTCAATTTTAATGGCCTAGAAAACATCTGAATCAGAAAATGAGAGGCTTACCTTGATTTTATCTCGAACAAAATTGAGATAACTTTCATTCTTCCTGTCTCCAAGTTTAGAGAGTGCTACTGAATAAGAATCAGAATTTCCAACTCGGGCATTCACACACCACTCCACATTAAATAGATGTGCAATGGTGTGAATTGCTAAAGAGAGCAGAGAAGAGAAACAAAGAAGGTGAAGGGAATGCACAAATTTATTGTAAGCTGGGTTTCTGGCCACAGCCTCTGACTCTATGATAAGTCACAGGGAGACACAGGGATGGCCCAAGACACTTATAAACAAGAAGTGGGTCTCCAGAACCAGAGAGGCAAGGCAATTCTACAAGGTAAGCTTTTCTCTAGTTGTATGATTGTGGGAAAATGACTTGCCTCTCTGGTCTTGGTTTTCTCATTTGTAAAATGAAGGTGTTAAGCTACATGCTCCTAAATATCTAAACGAGTTCTAAGATTCTACAAAATAGCCTTAGTCTCTGAAGGTGTTTGGATGTGTTCTCATTGTCTCTCTCCCCCTAATATATTTGTGTTGAAACAAGAAAACTCTCATGTGATGCCTAGTGGCTAGTCGATTTACCTGACTCTGAAATTACCTCCAGAGAGAGATGACAGATTTGATTGCATTTAATATAAACCTACGGCCACAAGTATGAATCTCCCTCAAAAAATTACATTCTTTATTTAGCAAACACATAGGACTTACTAGGTGCCAAGCATCTAATAAGTAAGTACTTTACAATTACTTACTCCTTACACTGACCCAACATTGTAGATACTATTAACATCAGCTCATCTTACAGATGAGGAAATTGGGTGACCTTTCCTAAGGTCACCAAGCTAGGAAGTAGCAGAGGTAGGAATAAAATCCAGGACATTTGGTACAGAAGTCTGTGCTCTTAGCTGGTACACTATGCTAGTTTCTAACAAGATTTTATCATACATTTCTTTTGAACTATTTCATTTGCCACTGCTCAAAAAGCCTGCCTGATCTACTAGTAGAAGAAAAACCCAGTCAAATGCCTGCAGTCTAAGCTATTTCACTCAGGCTAGGGACAGATTCCTTAAGGGCAGAGTAAAAGTCTGTTTTGTTCATCACTGTAAATGTCTATTGTCTGGCCCATGAATTATTTATTAAGTGAATTAGTGGAGATTGGATAAGGGTCCCAGATACATCCCTTCTTGCACTGACACCCCCACTCTGATAATTATAATAATATATAATATACAAAAATATGTATATATATTATATATATACATATAGTAATAACATAATAACAATAACAGTAATAATAATGGAGGTGTTTAGTTGATAAGGGCTGTCTTAAGGGATTCTCAATTTATGGGCTGTGGCTCCTGTAGGTTTACTGCAATAAATCCATAAATCCACATATGCAGCCAAGCACTTTTGTAGGATGAATAAAAAGCTCTCATATGTGGACTAACAAACATTTTTTGATACTAAAAAGGATGGAAAAGGATGAAAATGCCGGGATCAACATTGCCTATAGCACATTTCATTTTTATAGGAAGATCCTAAGATAAAAATTTTAAGACCTAAAGGAAGAAATCCTAATTTTGAGATGACAGAAAGAGTAGTAAATACTTTTTTGAACAGAACTCATTCAAAATGCACAACTTATCCAACCAGCAGTTATTCTACCTATAAACGATGATTGAGCTCTTACAAAAAGGTACCAAAGAATAGAGGCAACTCTCTAGTTCCAAGTTTTCTTTGCAATCTCAAATGTCTTAATAAACTTACCAGTGTGAAGTGCAATCATCCATGCCACCATTTTATGAAAGGTGAGGTTCCTGTCCAGTTGTCTTCGAACTCTTGTTGAGCAGCACTATGGATTAAGGGGGGAAAACGTTAATAAGAAGGATCTTTATGTGCCACACATTTGATACGTATCATCTAATTTAATTCTTATTATCACCACCCTACAAACTATATCATTCTAGCCATTTGATTGATGAGGAAACTGAGACTCAGAGATATAGTCATCTATCCGAGGTCAAAAAACCAGTAAGTGGCATGGCTGGTCATGATTGGTATGTTTTCTGTTCTCACACCAGTGACACGAGGTATCCCCTGGAATCTATTGATTAATTGTATAAAAATATGAATTTGCACAGAAAACAGCTAACTGCATAGTTTCTACTTCTGATTAATTTATTCAATAAACATGGGATATAGAAATGAATAAAGGACAGGCCTGCCCTCATGTACCTGACAGTCTAGTGGGGACACAAATAAGTGAACAGTTCTACAAGTGAATAGTACTTAAACAACATTGTTCTAGGTTATATACACAATGAGAAGACAAAGAAGGATCTCTTCACCCATGTAGGTCAGAAACATCACAAGAGAGATCATTGACCAAATAATAGTAGCAAAAATAACAATAGCTAACATTTACTAAGAGCTTGTGCAAGGAGCTGCTTTGTGTGCTTTACATGCATTGACTCATTTAATTCTTACATCAATTGTATGAAGAATGTAGCATTATTATCGCTACATAACAGATGAGGAAACAAAGGCATAAAGAGGTTACTTTGCCGTAGGTCACACAGCTAATAAGTGGTAGAGCTGGGATTGAAACCCAAGCCATCTGATACCAGAGTTTATAAATATTCTGATATTTCTTACCTTACATGATAACCTTGATATTAAAAAAGTATTTTTGTCCATATTTTAGTGTATTTGTCATTCCTACATATGGTAGAAGATGTGCGTTTGAATATAGATTCAGGCCAATGTTCAAAGCAGGGAAAAAAACTGGTTTATGGTTGAATTAGAGCTTTGTCCTCCTGAAAACTGGCCAATTGCCTACTCTGGCTGTTTTGTTCCAGAGTCTAAATGTACTGTCACAGAGATTCAAAGACCTTTAAGAAGAAGAGAGTGAAGTACCTAAAATATCTTAGGTATTTTAAATATCTGGCTCTAAATGTTGTATTCAGTTTAAATATAGGGATGTTTAATGTTTGGTTTACTTATTTTTAGTGCAATGTTGTGATCTTATGGAAAGATAAAATTGCATGGAAAATTGTGCTTACTCCATTCTCTCTCAGTTAGCCATACCTAGGGAGGGCAGGCTGTTTGGACCCTGAGAGTAGATTCTTGAAATTGCAGAAATACTAGTAAGGAGGACACTGCAGATTCCAGAAAAAAGGAAAAAAGAATTAGGTTTTATTGAGTGTCTTCTGTAAGCCAGGTAGTTTACCCATAATCATTATCTCATTTAACATAATGAGGTTAAGTCTTATTGTCCTCATTTTACAGACAAAGAAAACTAAAGCTAAAATTGTACATTGGCTGAGAGCTGAGTCTATTTGCCTATAACAGGTTCATGCCCTTTTCTACCAAACCAAATGTGAGAATATAGTCATTATTATTCTAAATGTCTAAAAACCTGAGACAAGAATTTAAGTGTAAGTACTCTTTCTGGAAGTGATCACAGAAAATGAGGGTAGAAGTGAAATCAGATGGGAAGGAAACCAATAAAGGGTGTATTATAATATCAGCTACCACTATCATATCATATCAGTGGGCACAATCACACCAGGAAACTCTGGGAGGCTTTGTAGACTTGTCTGAGAGGGTTGTGTGTGTGTGTGTGTGTGTGTGTGTGTATGTGCTTGCTTTGTTTTTGGTTTTCACCTAAGGGGAAGGAAGCTTGGGTGTTCAACCACCAACTTCCATCCATCGTTAGCTGAGGGCTGCTCCCAGGGCATCAACTCCTTGGGATTTCAGGCTTACCCCAGGACAGGGCTGAAAGAAAATCCTCAGGCAGAGAATGACTGGTGCTTACAAAAGGCACCTGACTCATGTATTGGAAAACTGTCAGTGAGGGACTATGGTGGGAGCTCCAACAGCATCAGCTACAACTAAGTGTCCGCCAGTGGAACTGAGCACTGACTCAAAACCTCAAAATAAGCATTTCCTGTTTGAAATAACTTATTTAATATTTCTGTTGGTGAAAAATTGACTGTTTCTGTTTTCTTATATAGCCTCATTGTGTTTTGTGTTTATTTCAAGTCTGAAAGTTGTTTTTCTACTTTGATCTTTGCAATTTTAAGGAAGTATCTTTCTCCTCTTTCTCAATTGCCATGTTCCTCCATAGTTTCTAAGGGTCCTTGTGGTAGGCAGATTTCTAGGGTGATTCACAATGACTTTATATAATCTCCTTCCCTTGAGTTTGGGTGGGACCTGTGACTATGATGAGATATCACTTCTGTGATTTTGTTACATTGCATGGCAAAAGGGATTTTACAGAGGTAATTAAAGTCCCAAATTGACTTTAAGAGGGAAATTATCTGGGTGAGCCTGACCCAATCCATGAGCTCTTTAAATACGGATCTAGAAAACAGAGATGAAAGAAGTCAGAGATTTGAAACACAAGGAAGATTTGATGCACTGTTGCTGGATTTAAGATAGACGGGACACGTGGCAGGAAATGCAGGGGCCTCTATATCTGAAAGTGGCCCTGAGATGATCACTAGCAAGAAAAGAGGGTCCTCAGTTCTGCAACTGTAATGAACTGAATTCTGCCAATTTAAGAATGAACATGGAAGAAGATTTTTACCCAGAGTTTCCAGATAAGAATTTGGCTCAGTAGACACCTTGATTTCAGTGTTGTGATACCTGAGCAGAGAACCCAGGCACAAGGTACTGGCCTTCTGACCTACAGAAATGTAACCTAATAAGTGGGGGTTATTTTAAGCCATTGAGTTTGTGGTAATTTGTTACATAGCAATAGATAACTAACATAGTCATTACTGGAGTAGTGAAACTGGATTGGAATCCAAAGAATCAGAGAATGGGAATTAGTATAGTTGGAAAGCAGTACAGAATTACATTTGAGAGCAAGTTTTGTCTTCAGACATACCTGTGTTGGGTCCCAGCCCTCCCACCTAGCTGTGTGACATTAAACAAATGTATTCAGTCTCCAGTTTCCTCACTTGAATAATTATCATTGTTCTTCCCTCTGTCTCTGTTGCATAGATTCATTGAATGGTATTCAGTAAATATTTGATGGTTTTTTTATTGTTATTTAACTTTTCAGTGGGGCTCCCCAGCTAGTTGGTAAGCTTCCTGTATGACAAGCAGTATGTCATGTGCTTTCAAAATCCTTTCATCATTATTTGGTTGAATAAATGCATTACATTTTCACTGCCCTAGAACCTAAGATGATTACTCTAAACCTATAGAGATGTATTCGGCCCCATATCTATGCTTGCCACACTGTTTTCTTTTCTACTTCCCAAAAAAATCCTTTTGAAATTTTTTTTTGGAGGGGAAATTCACTGGCTCCTGCATGCTGAATTTGAAGAAAAAAAATACGGTTTTGTTGAGGTCCCTACATTGTTTTCCTGGTCCTATCATTCTCATCATCATCATCACCATGGGTCATCAAAAATGTGAAACAATAGATGCTGAGGCCCCTTAACAGCTTTAGCCACAAACCCTTAGAGAAAAATAAACTGAATACCAGAACAGTGGAGGGCTGTGCTTGGGAAATACAATGTCCATTCAGTATTAGTCTGTTTTATCTTAAAAGGTAATTTTAAAAATTAGTTAATATAAAACACATACATTTTATTAAAAGGAAAAACAGAGACTACTAGTCACTAATGGGCCAGTAGAATGGATCCCACCAGAGCACCAATCCCTGATTTTTCCCAGCTACCCTCTTTGATGTGGTCAGAAATGGCAAACAAATCCAAAGAGAAGCCACAAATTGTGCTGATACTGGGCTTTTGAGAATACAATCTCCTCACTACTTCCTGAAAAGGGCACAAGATGACCAGCCGGTGGGGTGGGAAGGAGGGGCTTTACTGCCTGTGACTGCCCAGACCATTTTTGTTTCTCCTCATCGTGCACATACCATTTGTATGCTTTGAGTCACTTCTGAATTATCACCATCCACCTACCAATTACCAAAGCTGCCATCATGGCCTATAGCTTCCTCACTGAACTACCTCTTTGCTTTCTGCCACTGACCTCTAAAGGAAAGTTTCTCTGTTACCATCACCTGAAGCCTTGCCCAATTTCAATAAACTACCATTCTAATGCAAGGGAGATTATTGAGTCACCTTGGCAGATTTTTATGCTCCATTGAAACTGTGAGTGAGAAAAAGAATTAAAAAAAAAAAGAGAGAAGTAGAACTAAAAAGAAGTGCATATTTATGGGGTTTAACAGAAACTGAAAAGCTCTATTTTTTGTACATTTGATCTCATTACATGCATATTAATGTATCTGAACTAGATATTTATATGCAACTTGGGAGAAATTGCAAAAGACAGCTTTGAATCTACAGAACTCAGGCAGAAAAGTTGACAGTAATGTCCACACCTGGTGGCAGTGGAATATGTGATAGCTATGAATAACACCACTTTATTTGCATACTACTGTATATAATTTTGAAATTCCATATTTATTCTCTATTTCCTCTATAAGATTCTAAACTCCTTACACTCATCATGGCCCATCCATATCTTACTCTTTAAGCACCATATGTCCTTAGGACTTAGCATATAGATGGAACTCAACAAATATCTGTGGGCTGACAACTCACTAATTGACAGACTTAATCAAATAATATAATTTTAGAATGGCATATTCATTCTTACATATGCATTATTTGTCCTGTTTTTCAGCTAAAACACAACTATGAGACCCATAGCCCAAGAGATTTATGCTGAAGCACATGGTTAGAAATAGAGCCATATTGAGGACCTCTGACTCTCAGACTATATAAGGTGGCAGGTAAGACCTCACCCTCTCACCTTCTTGCTTCTTTCTGATCTTAAGACTAGGACTGCCATACAGTTAGAAATTAGTTTCTGCATGGCAAGTTGGGATTGTTAAGGTTTCCTCAGGGACTCCCACATGCTGAGCTCCACCCTCAACAACATAGGCTGAGAGCTTTTATCCCTACCTTTCTTGGGGTGGTGGGAAGGGCAACCCTGATGCTTTCTTTTTCCAGGTAACCAGAAGGATTACAAAGCAAATTATGAATGATTAAGACTTCTAAAAACTGAATGGGAGTTCTGTGGCTGTTTAGTTTACTAATGAGTCCTTGAAGTTACAACATCCTTGTCATTTCTAGCCTAGGTTCTTCAAACACTCATATACATGATGGATTTCTAAAACCATAATACTGCAACAGGACGGTGTCAAGAAGTTTAGGTGGCACAAAGAAAAGTGAATGGGGGTACAGTGACTTGGGTTTGAATGCCAACACTCCCATCTAATTTTGTTCTCATCTTACTGGCTTGACGTGCGGATTTCTTGAGATAAATTTTAGGAAGCTTCAACAAGTGGCAGCTATTATCATTCCCAACATTAGTCACAGAACACTCACTCCTTTTAATCCCAATCATAAAAGAAGTTTCAATTGAAAAGTTCATATTTCAGGTTGGGAATCCCCCAAGAAAGGACATGTCCTGTCTGTAAAAGGATGTGGCTTGCTGCTAGTTTTAAAAATATATTCTTTTACATAACGATCTATCTGGTTACAGAGCTGCGCTTTTCTGTGCAATTTGAAGAGCAGCCCTATTTCATCCCTGTCTTTAGAGATCCTAAAAACTGCCATTACAACATGTGCTGCTCATGGGACACAGCGGCTCAACTGCAATGCAATCTGGCCTCGTGGGGTAACCAGGATTTCTTAACGGGCCATGCTGTTGAAAACACCGCCAGTTTCTCGGTATTTACCTCCTATAAATAGAGAGTATTTGAATGGGGGTAGAGAGAATAAAAAGAAATTGTATCTCCTTAAAAACAAAAAGCTACAGTGTATGGGCTTCATTTAGCAAATGTTCATTAAGCACCTATTATACAGTAAATATTGTACATTACAGTAAGTGGCCCGTCAATAGAACTTTCCATTGAGTGAGATTTCACCTCTGTGGTTTCTTAAGTAGAGAAGATTATTTGGAAATCCTTATAAACGATGTCTAATTCCAAGTGCTGTTGTTAGTTTTGGGTTTTGTCTGGCTGCCAGTTTGCAAGACAACATTGTGCAACAGAGTTTATGGCTTAAAGAAAAGAATCTCATCACAGTATTTTCCAGAGGGAAAAACAAAGTCATGACTCTTTCCGGAGCATCTAAAAATGTTTGTCAACGTTATACTTTTTGTTTTCTGATGAAGCGAAGGTGTTAGAGTTATTTATGCCAACTTTTATTGTAAAATTAGACTTGTGAGAGTCCAACTTTGACAGTCGGTTTAAGATGGAATGACATTTTATAGTTAATTCATATAAAATAAAAGCTTAATTGTAGTCTGGTAATCCTATATTAGTAAATCAAGTGTTGTATGTTCTTAAAGAAAAAAATTTCTTTGGACCAATGGGAATTTGGTATGACTAGGAAAAATGAGGCAGAGTTCAAGACAAGTTCTACTTGTTATTGACGGTTTAGTCTACTTCCCTCCCCCCAAATATTCTGTGATTGCCAATTAAATATTAACTCCTCATCTATATATTTAAGGCTCTAGTTTACCAGAAAAATCTCAGCTCTCCTCTCCAGCCTTATCTCAGGCCCCTGCTCTATAAAATCCCTACAATCCCATAAAAGTAATTTGCTTGCTACTCTCCTCCATAAATGATTTCTACTTAAGAGGGAATTTTTTAAGTTTGTTAA